CATTCCTGTCTTAGGCAAAACCTCCAATTAAAATCAGCGGGGAGTTTGCTTGAATTAGGAATCCCAGCCTGGGCTCCCCACCCGGGTGGTTCTGAAAGGGAGGTGTGTGTCTTTGAAGGCTCTGATGGGAAGCCCTGGGTGGCAGAGCCTCTGTCCTCCGAATGAGGAGCGACTCCAGCTGTGTCGCTGGGAGACCTGTCAGGTCGCCAGGAAATCCTGGCTGAGGCAGAGATGGAGGCCTGCTGGGGAGCATGGCCAGGAGCCTAGCCTGTCCTCCAGCCTGGGTTGTAGAGGGTAAGGAAAGTACACTAGGGATTGGAAGGAACACTGGCTTTGGATCCAGACATCCCGAGCTCTGATCTGTACATCCATGCTGTGTGACCATGGGAAAGTCACAGTCCCTCTCTGGTCTTCAGTGTCCTCTCAGGAGAATGAAAATCACAAAGTCATCCTATCTCAGGGGGTTGATGTGAGGATAGGAGGAAAATAGCCACAACGTAGAAAGTACTCAGGAAACCGTGATTCTTCACCTAAGCCCCAGAGTCTCCATGTTCAGGTCTAAAGGTGAAGGGGCCAAACATTTCCCAGTCTTCTTCTGGAAGGTTTTCTGCTTCTGAGGTCTACCCTGCTGCACGTGGCCCTCGGAGGGAGCCCACCAATCAGGTTTCAAGGTTTTCCGGATTTGGAAATAAAAATGCTGCTTGCTGCCCTCACCTCCTTCCTCCTCTCCTCCCTGCCCTCCATACCCCTCCCTGACCCTCCCCTGATCAGAATGAATCGAAATCACATCCAACAGAAAGATGCTGATTTGGAGGTATTGGAGTTCATCTCTGGCTGCAAACGGAAGAGGCTCTGGATCCCCAGGGACAGAGGAAAACGTTTAAAAACTTGGTCCTCTCTGGCTCACACCGGCTGCCTTGCAGTGGGGCTGTGTCAGCCTTTTGTGCGACCCTCCCCTCTGGAGCTGGCCTATTAAGCCGCTCCTCTGTTCCCAGGGCTGAGGCAGGCTGTCACCAGCGAGCCTGGGAAATGGTATTTATAGATCACAGTCCCTCCTACCCCTGGCCCCCAGCCTCTCCCCGAGCACTTGTCGGTGAGCTCCAATTATCTGTGAATGGACGAGAAGGAACCTGGCAGGTCCAGAGGAAGCGAGGAATGTGATAATAGGCCCTTCACACCCTCCAACTTTCAGTATTTTTCCATGATTTCAGTTTACTTCTCTTCTCGTGGCCTGTGTCCTTCTTCTTCTTGCCGCATCGTTGTAATTTCCCGTTATGGTACGCAGCACGACGCGCGGTGGTGTGGGGGTTAGAGGGTGTGGGATGGGAGCACGAAGTGACTCTGTGGGTCTCGATCCTCAAGAGCTCAGTGTCTCTGTCTGTGACTCAGCTGCTCCCACGGCAGCTCCACAGCCTCCGGCACAGTGCCTGCGGGACGGTGAGGGCTCCCCAGTTGTAAGCCGCCCGGTCCCTTGGCTGGTTGTGGGTGCTCTGTGCCGGGGAGCATCGCCACGTTTCTGAATATCCGTGATCACTACCCAGACCACTGGCTGGAGATGGAGAAGGTGTAGGAGCTTGGTCTGGGTAAAGCAGATTCCTCATTACCAGAAGTTGCTTATGTCAAGAACAAACCCACAAAACACTGGAATGAGCTTGTCTTTCTGGTTTTGCTCTTCTCCACAAAAGGAAGGATGGAAAAGTCAAAGACAGTTGGCTGAGCTTGGGAATCAGGGTTCTCACTAGTGACCCTGCTCCCCGTCTCCAACACCCAGTCCCCTCTTCTCAGCAAAAGCTGAGTTGCCCTCAGGTGGCCCGCCCAGTGTCCACATTCCCTGAGCCTATGAGTTGGGACAAATGAAGGCTCTGCTGAGCTTCTGCATGTCTGTGCTGCCCACTCTGACTTCATTCCCTCTTTTCCTTCTCCAGTCACCTGTTCCTACCACTGTCCCGTCTGCCCATCTAGGTCGGGCTCCACGGTCGCCCCCACAGTCTGCAGCACCCAGGCAGGTTCTCCTCTCACCACCCTTCCCCGTGCTCCACCTCCCTCCTCCTTGTTCCCTTCCCTCCTGCCCCCGAGCCTCACGCTCCCTGCCCCCCTCCCCCTGCACGCGGCCTCGTTCTAAGTCCTCTGGCTGGATCATTAATGCCTTCTTTGATATAGCCCACAACCTCATGATTATTCTGAGGTCAGGAGATGCAGGTGCCACGCAGCTCGCTGATGCGCCTCAGAGGCCCTCTGTCCCCAATCCCTCCTGTGCGACAGGCCTGGAATCCTAATTCGCCACTAGCCCCTTCGCTTGTGGCATCATCACCGGGGACTTTCATCTTTTTCTCTCCCCCAACCAAGGATTCTGAGGGCTCGGCCACAATGAGGCATTGATTCAAGGAGTGGGGGCTGCACGGCTGACAAAGGGTCCCAATGATAAGACACGAGAAAGGGGGTGCTCGACGGGGTTATAGAATGCCTCGCAGATGGGAACAGAGGAGCTCTAAATGGGGTACTGTCCTGTCACTTGGAGAGGGAGTGACAGGGGCAAGTGTGGGCCATTTGAAAGAGGCATTTTGGAATGACGCTCTCGTCAGATGGAACCGTGCAATCAGAGACGTGTGGCGGGCCCCTGCGGCTCACAAAAATATCAGATGACTCAGAGCCAATATTCAGTCAATGTTCTGGTTGGGGAGGTGGGAGCCACGGGGCTCATTGTTATTCCAGCTCCGTTTCCTGAAGGCTGGGCCTGCTGCTGTTCTCCAGGCTGTAATAGGATTGGTCTCGTGAAGCAGAGGCTGGGGACGCCTGGAGCCGTGCGGGTGGGCGGTATCGGGAACGAACTCTGCAGCCCGGAGGGGAGAAAAGAGACGTCGGTTTTTTGTTTTTTTTTAATGACAAATACAAGGAAAATATTAATTTTTGTGGTTCAGTCATTCAGCAAGCATTCATTCATGCCGCAAACAGTGGGAGATCCACGTTGGGGGCTGAGCCGCTCAAGGGAGGGCAGGTCTCTCCCTCTCAGGCCTTCCAGCCCGGAGGGGAAGCGGACAGGGAGAGCAGGTGTCTCCCCACCGTGCTCAGAACGCCAGGAGGGAGGTTTCACTGCCAGGGGCGGGTGGTTCCGTGGATTTAAAAGGCAGAGCAGCTTCAAGGAGCGCGCTAATTATTCCTCCATTTTCTCTCAGTTGATAAGGAACTCATTTAAAGCAGAGCGTTCTGAGAAGCCGTGCCAACGCTATCCACTTTCAAATGTCCCATAGAATAAAATGGTTTCCCTCAAACTCCAGGGAGAGAGTGAAATCCCTGAGAGTGTCTCAGTGCCTTCAAAGGAATAGCTTATTCTCTGGGATAAGAGTGATTATTATTATTATTACCTGTTTAATAATTGAGCTACGCCAGGCTCCGTGCTGAATGCTTTAAATATCCTCTCACACGGTCCTCTCCCCCTCCACCCCACCACTGCTGAAGGTGGGCTTCATCACTCTCATTTCGGATGTGGATACTGAGACTCAGAGACACGAAGTGACTTGTCCCTAGTTACAGGACTGAGCTTTGAACTCGGTTCTGCTTGGGCCAATGCACCTGCTCTTCACTCTCAGGCTCACAGTCTTGGTGGCCGTGGCTCCAGGGTGCAGGCAGTACGGTTGAGGTTTTGCTGACCTCTCCTACCCCAGGCAGTCCGATGCAGGAGGGCTTCTCTTCCCAGGCTCCTAAAATGGAGATCACGAACCTCTGCCATCGCCATCACTGTCGTCATCAACATTACCACAGCACACTGTGGCCTGAAGACAGACTTTCTGGCCTCTTGCTTGACACAGATTTTTTTTATTTTTTTTCCAGCGTAACAGTATTCATTATTTTTGCACCACACCCAGTGCTACATGCAATCCGTGCCCTCTCTACAGATTTAAAAACAAAACAAAACAAACGAATAGCAATGAGCCAGGAGACTTCTCCACTCCCTCACTGTATGGCTTTGGGTCCTTCACATCACCTCTGAGCTTCTCTCACCATATCTGTAAAATGGAGCTGAGAGTCCCTTTGCAGGAATAATAAGAATTAACTTTTATCGATTCCTTAATACCAGACGGGTTTGGGGAGAAGGCTTGGCATAAAAATTCATGTCCTCACCACAGCCCTGCATGGTAGTGACAGTTAGGGAGGTGAACGAAAACGCCCAGCACCGCCTCAGCTCCTGAGTGGAGAAGCCGGGACTTAAAGCAATCTCTGACTGACCTCAAGTCCCAAGCTATTTTCAGGGTGTTGTTGTGAGGCTCAAGTGAGAGAATGGAAGCAGATGTGCCCTGTGCAGGGTAAAAAGTGCCAGACACATGTAAGGGATTCTTTGTAGCATGGAAGATGGCCAAGAGATGACTCGCACAGAAATGAGGAAAGATGAGAGGCCACTGAGCTGACCGCCTTCCATATTTTTCCCTATTCTGCTGCTGCTGTTTATCTGATCTCGTATCTATCTTCACTGGAACGTTTCGGTGGCGGGAACCAGGAGACAGCCTTGGGTAGTGTTTGTAAAAGTGCTGAGGGGCCGTGAGGAAGGGAGAACCTAGAGACCCGTGCTGTGATGCAAGTCACACTGAACCGAGAGTTTGGAGCATGGGGGCAGAAGGGGGCGATGACGTCTTTCTTACGTGTGAGGATCACGTAAGATCATCAATGTGGAAGCACCAGGTGATCTCTAGAGTAACACAGACTATAATTCGTTTTTGTTCGAAGTGGTCAGATGTCATATTACCTCCTGGGCAGAATCTGGGAAGGGGGCTGAAACACGTGATGCCCATCAAACACACAAACCCCTGAGTTCTTCTCCGTGGCTGATTTTTGCGGTCTGCTTTGATCTCGCAGGGGTGTTTTGAGTTCGGACACTCTAATTTCCTGGATCCAACTCCTTTGGGGCTACTGTATAGCAGAATTCTGGAGCTGGAGGGACCCCAAAGAACACTTATTCCAGCCCAGCCCTGGTGGCTAACAGTCTCCATTTTCCTTCTATCCCCCAGGACAATTCAGCAGTGGCTCGCGAGGGTCCAGTCGCTTCTCTACTGCAACGAGAACGGGTTTTGGGGAACCTTCCTAGAGAGCCAGAGGAGCTGCGTGTGCCATGGCAGCACCACGCTGTGCCAGCGCCCCATCCCCTGCATCATAGGAGGGAACAACAGCTGCGCCATGTGCAGCCTGGCCAACATCTCGCTCTGCGGCTCCTGCAACAAGGGCTACAAGCTCTACCGCGGCCGCTGCGAACCCCAGAACGTGGACTCGGAGCGGAGCGAGCAGTTCATCAGCTTCGAGACCGACCTGGACTTCCAGGACCTGGAGCTGAAGTACCTGTTGCAGAAGATGGACTCGCGCCTCTACGTCCACACCACCTTCATCAGCAACGAGATCCGCCTCGACACGTTCTTCGATCCGCGGTGGCGCAAGCGCATGTCCCTCACGCTCAAGAGCAACAAGAACCGCATGGACTTCATCCACATGGTGATCGGCATGTCCATGCGCATCTGCCAGATGCGCAACAGCAGCCTGGACCCCATGTTCTTTGTCTATGTCAACCCCTTCAGCGGGAGCCACTCCGAGGGCTGGAACATGCCCTTCGGGGAATTCGGCTACCCGCGCTGGGAGAAGATTCGTCTCCAGAACAGCCAGTGCTACAACTGGACTCTCTTGCTGGGCAATCGGTGGAAAACGTTTTTCGAGACGGTCCACATCTACCTACGTAGTCGGACTCGGCTACCCACCCTCCTGCGAAACGAGACTGGCCAGGGCCCCGTGGACCTGTCCGACCCCTCCAAGAGGCAGTTCTACATCAAGATCTCGGATGTGCAGGTGTTTGGGTACAGCCTGCGGTTCAACGCCGACCTCCTTCGCAGCGCCGTGCAGCAGGTCAACCAGTCCTACACGCAAGGTGGCCAGTTCTATTCCTCTTCGTCTGTGATGCTCCTCTTGTTGGATATTCGGGACCGAATTAATCGCCTGGCCCCTCCTGTGGCCCCAGGGAAGCCCCAGCTGGACTTGTTCTCCTGTATGCTGAAGCACCGCCTGAAACTGACCAACAGCGAGATCATCAGGGTGAACCACGCCTTGGACCTCTACAACACCGAGATCCTCAAACAGTCGGACCAGATGACAGCCAAGCTCTGTTGACCTGAGACTCCTTGCCGTGGGCTTTCCCTTTTGTTGTACAAACGTAACAGAACAAAGCAAAGCAGAATAAAACACAACACAAGTTTGTAAAATGTAATTAATATTCAAAGAAAAGGAAGAAGAGTCTTCATTCGTTGGAAACGAAAACGTTCTAGCAACTGTATAAAACCGTCGGGCATGTTTGTTATCTCTATACTCTGTCATGAAGAAGGGTCTCAGCCTTTGGAGGAGCTTGGAGGGGTTGCTTCTTAGGCCTCAGGTGCTGTATGGTGGGGGGAGAAGGGGAGAGCATATGCAATGAATTGCCAAGATCTCTGCTGTGCAGGTGCTAAGATTAAATGCTAAAAAGAAAGAGAGATATATGTAATGTACAACCGACACTGCCATTTTTCCTTGTGGGAGGAAATGGACATAGATAAAGATATTTCTTGGGTTATGATTTCTTCCCTTTCTATGCCTAATTCCTTGTGGTTCTTTTGACTCATTCTTGCACAGGGGTGGGGATGTGATGACCGTGCTATCTTACCCATTCTGAATAAACTGAAGCTGTTTGAAGCAGGACAGTAACGGGGTTTGCAAGGAAGAAACAGATACATCATCACAGGGTGTGAAAACAATAAGGGCCCTCAGTTATCTGCTGTCACACTCCTTGATTTAGTTTGTGAAATAGGCACGGAGAGAAAATGGCATGCCCGTGGCCACACATAGCTACGGCCTGAATAAGGATTTGAACTCTGCCTTCTCACTCCCTTGGCAGCGCTCCTCCTTCTAAATCACGCCAGCCACTTCGTGGTTTCTCCTCCAGCTACACTGCCAGGGGATGAAGCTGTCTCAGGTTGTTTTGATAGCTTTTTTTCTTTCAATTGAAAAACCCCTCTCACCTACTCTCTCTAAAAAGAAATGGTCTCAGATTGCCTAGAAGTCCTTTGCATATTAAAGTTTTGTTTAAATAAAAATCAATAAACACAATAAACTAAAATGGGGTCAGTTCTAACATGGCATTGCTCTACTAGTCAGACTTCCCCAAGTAAGTATGGGAAAAAAATGATCCTTTGATAAACTCAGAACAAACGAACACACACACACACACACACACACACACACACACAGCATGTACACACAAATTATAACACTGCCGTTTCCTTGGCATCTACGAAGGTGAGAGGCCTTGTTTTGGGACTTCGTAGTTAAATTGAAAGGAGAAACTCAAGAAAGAAAAGTTATTTCAGAGCACTCCTGTAGAGGATTTGGGCGGATACCACTTCTTAGCCTTCAAGATCTCCATGTTTATCTTCTTGGTGAGGTGGTACTTACTAGAGGAGCTTCTGAACATCCAAATCTTCGTTTCTGTATTGTCAGAGAAATAGTATCACCAATTTCAGGGTCAAAAGAAAAAAATGGAATTCCTTTGGTTTAAACTTCTGCCCAGTCCAAATCTTCTTCTTACCCTCTTAGGGAGATCACCGCCATTTACTGGCTTGACCATTCCAGCGACAGGAAGCTGATTAGCTCTTCCACGTTCCTTGAATTCCTCTTCTGCTGAAAGGGAACAATAAAGTTCATTCCATTTTGTGTTATAAAACAAATCTAGTTATTAGATTGTTCTTCCATACGTTGGCCAGCCTTCGCATACCTTCCACTCCCTGGCTCCAGTTTTGGAATGTGAATTTCTCTCTCAAGTTAATGCTTTCCTGGATACAATACAAAGACCTATCTCAGAGGTCACCACAGTCTGTGATAATACGACTCAAAGATTACACCATCCCTAATATAGTTTAGAAGTAAAGAATTACCTAGTGTGTGTTTATGTATGTGTGTGTGTGTTGGCGGTGAGTTGGGGGGATTAAGTCTTTTTTGGGGGGTAGTGGTAAATTCCAACTTTAGTGTTCCAGTTTTTAGCATGAATTAGCATATATTCTGATAATGACTTTAACAGTAACTTGCATTTCACATGCACACAGGTTTTTGGACCTCAGCTTTTGAGGATTCATTGTTCATTTAGACTAGAAATCCTTTCATGCCAGAGATCACATCACAGATATTCTTCAAGCATAAGATTTTGCAGAAGGTTGGCAAACCATCAAACATCTCTTCAATGCCTATTAGATGAATGGGGTATGTCAGAGAAATAAAAATTTGTAAGGACATGGTCTATACTTTTGTGCCACTCACAAATTAATGAAAAATACAGACATATGAACCAAATTGAAAAAATAAACAATAATTACAGTACACCATGATGAGTGCTATCGTGGGGTCAGGCACATGGAGAGAATCCCTGGAGAAGTTATTTTCTCTCTTAATGGGGTTGGCCAAAGCTTTATGTGGGCGTGTTTATTCTGAGTGTTGAAGTGAATCAGAGTTGGGCAAATAGCAAGACGAAGGGCCAAAGGAAGAGAAAATGCAAAATATTTATACAAAGGATAAATATGCATGGTATATTTGAGGGTCAGTTAACAGCTTTAAAACTGTGGTTTTAAATGGGAAGCCTAACAAGGACAGTGAGGATTTTAAGACTGTATGAGAAGTGGAAATAATGACCTGCTAAATGAATTTAAGACTGACCACCTCTCAGTGGCCTCTCTTCCTTTTTTCCTTTCATCTCTACCTTCCAAGCACTTCAAGAACTCATGCTATAGGAACCCCTGTACTCGCACTTAACAGATCACTAGGCAATCTTCAGAGGCATTTTGCTGCTTAATTCTTAATCACAATTCTGTTAGGGCCTTCCACCTGAGTTCATTCCCAGACTTCACCAGTTGTATGTGCAGGAAAATCCTCTTCCCTTCACCTTGAAAATACTGACTGCATCACTTCATATTTCAAAGAGAACACAGCAATGTCCAATGATTGGAAAGGTCAGGAAAATAGAGAAATTTTCAAGGAGAGAAAAAGATTCAGACATCAAAATATTTATTCAAAGGCAAAAGAAAAATACTTTGCTATATAAAAGGACACAAAGTTCTGTGGATTTTCCAATGTCTCCTGCTTGGGTCTGGCCCTTTGAGCTAACAAGGTTCCTCTCCAGCTGAGAGGAAGAGAAGCCTGAAGACTTCAACTGAGATTTTAATTCAATTAGTGTCTTACCAATTTGATGCAGCAACCAAGGACCTATGGTGTCTGATTAATATGCTGATGCTAAGGCAAAAGAGTGAACAGAATGCCCATTTGGATAAGGCCTGGCAGCAAAGCGTGGCATTGCCATGGAAACTGCAGAAAGCCATTAATTAGCTATCAAATAAAATCATTGGAAAATTCTGGACCCTGGCATATCTGCCCCCTTCAAAGAGGAGGGCAAGAAGAGGTCATACTAACAGCAAGGCTCCCTTCAATGATTAAAATCGTAGTTGTACAGAGACTGCATGTCACAAAGTGGAAGAATGATTGGGAAGTAAAACAAATGGACATAACGAAAGAAAAGAGGCTTTGGGATTATTCAAATCCAAGAATATAATTTTTAATGTAAAAGTATCTTGTTGGGTTTCCTATGCTGATAAAGTTACCTCAATGACAAACATTTTCTCCTAGTTTCTGTTCTGTGGAAAGAAAGGGAGAATAATACGGATCCACTATATGGTGATAAGTGATCAGGGGGAGGAATCATAGAGTCAGAGAGTGTGGAGTGATTAACCCATAAAATAATAGATAGTTTGTATAATGTTCACATTTTAAAAAACGAAAATTAAAAAACTAAAAAGGCAGAAACGGGAGAAAAAAAATTAAAATAGCTAGCTACATAGACATAATAACAAAATTTACTATACAGATAATCACAATAAATGTAATTGGACAAAACCAGTGAGTAGAAAGACAGGTAGTCGGACTACACATAAGTTTTAAAAAATAAAGGGAAAGAAGGTTTCAAAATAAAAGGACAAAAATATGCTAGACAAATATTAACTAAAAATAAGCTGATGCCGCACTGTTAATAACAGTCAAAAAGACTTTAAGGCAATATACATTATTAGTGTTAAAGGTCAATTTAACAAAGAAAGTGAGACAAGTGTGGACACATACAACCATAGACTCAGAATGGGAATGGGATCAATAAAGAACTGTAAAATTTCAACCTTTAGAGATGAGGAATTATACCTAAAGTTATTCTACAAGTTTTCAACAATAACCATGATTACAGTTCCCCCTCCATTATCACGAAGTGAAGGGTCGTGTAGCACAATCTCCTATCCAAGAGAAGAATCAAGAAATAGCCCGATTACATTTAAACTAATAGGATATACAAACTCACACCCATACTGTTCTTGATAGATATACACACATACATAATATACTATATAATATATAGTATCTATACTATTATACACACATACACACACACACATATATATACACTATAGCATGCGATTATATTCTGTTATAATATATATTTCTTATTAAGTCACCACCATCTTATATATGGGGATTTTTCCAATTGAGGATCAACTCAAATCCTTGGATGGTTTTAAGGAGCTCAGGTTGAGTGCAGATCACTCTCTTCCTGGAAACTGAGTATTAGTGGTTCCTGCCCCATCAACCCTAAGAACCTAAAAGGAACTCTTTGTTCTCTCCAAATCATTAACAGGGCTTGCAGTTACAAATAAGGTCACTCCTTGATTTTCTCTATCAGATCTAATTGTAAGCATTCTGAATCAAGGCATATGGTACATGTTCTGTCCACTTCAGTTCAGAATCTTCATTCCTTCTCAATAGATTCACAAATCGAGATGAATGGAAGGAAAAGAATGGCACAGATTTGAATTAATGGACAGGAAATCACCTCAAAAGTCAAAGAATTAATTTGAGGGGAATTATAGATCTCTGAGAAATGTGAAAACTCTGGGCTCTTTCTCAGTAAAAAATGTACCATCAGATACATTTTTGAAAAATGTTTCATAGATCCCTTGATGACATTTCTTGGACATTCTGGAAGATTGCAAACCTTCAGTAAGTACCTCAGATCTAGGTTAAACCTTCTATTTTACAAAATTTAAGCTTCAGCTTTTGGAGATGAGGAGTCATACTCAAAGTGATTCTATAGGTTTGGAACACTTAGCATGAGTTTAGTTCCCTTTTCACTATCTCAAGTATATGTTGGCCTAGGATCACATATGAAGATAATGTAGCTTATACTGCAGAATCCTGCCCTCAGGGAAGGCAGTTGTTTGTTTGTTTGTTTTTAATTTTATTTATTTGTCACAGAGAGAGGGAGCAGCAGGCAGAGGGAGAAGCAGGCTCCCCACTGAGTAAGGAGCTCCATTCCAGGACCCTAGGATCATGACCTGAGCTAAAGGCTTATGCTTACCCAGTCACTGAGCCACCTAAGTATCCTAGAAGACAGGTTTGTTGTTGTTTTAGTTTTTTTTTTTTTAGTTTTTATTGATTTATTTGAGAGAGAGAGAAGGAGAGGAAGTACAAGCAGGAGGAAGGGCAGAGCGAGAAGTAGACTTCCTGCTAAGCAGGGAAC